TATTGAACAAAAACAATCAAATAAATAAAAAAAGGCTCATTAAATATGTGACATAGCTTCAAGTCATCAAATTTCTTTTGAACTGAAAGGAAGGGATGCAACGGGACAAAAATGGTAAGGAAGAGAATTTAAAAAAAAAAAAAATTGATCCATTTATAATCCTCCGTCATCAGTGGATGCCACGGGACAAAAATGGTAAGGAAGAGAATGTAAAAAAAAAATAAATTGATCCATTTATAATCCTCCATCAATTGGACTAATGGATCATCCAATTGGAAACGATAACCGAATGCATCCAATTAACCCAGCGACAGCCTTCCAATCCTCCAGCTTTAGACCATGGGCGAAAGCCTGGCGGAATAATGCCCCTTGGAGGTGGAAGGTCTACGAGTCATGAACTTCTTTTTCTTAGAGAATAAGCAATGAGGGTATCTGAGGACTTCATTTATAATTCTTATAATTAATTTGTTGTGACAATACATATCTTGTCTGAGCACTAAACTAGACGGTTGGTATCATAAAGTTACGGTTTTTTTTTTTTTTTTTCTCGATAAAAAAATGAGGGCTACCACGTTGACCCTTTCCGATCGACCGTTTAATCACTTTGGGGTTTAAGGTTTCTGTCGATATTAAATGTGGCATGATGTCTTTCGTCGTCGAGTTCAGTTCGTTGGGTCGGTTTAGTTGCAAGGTTTTGCTCCCTTGGTCAGTGGTAGGTCGAGAAGCTTTTCCTTATCAGCCGTAGTTCAGGTGCAAGTCCTATTAAAAAGGGTGGGACGAGGAGTTTCAATGGTATGATTTTAGTTTTTATTGTAAGCTTCTAGTCACACCCAATTTTAACTCTTGACGCTGAGCAATCTCTTCACATCCAACACCATTTTAAATGTATAACTTTTCATTAATTTCCTCAATATATTGGTAGTATGAGTTTACTAGGTTGGAGAGTTGATATTGGAGATCTTAAAACTTATAATTTAAATTCATATTAACGAGTTTGAGATTGGTTGGGTATGAATACAGCTTGGATTAATTATGTAATGTTTAGGATTGAGATAAAGTGAAAAATACTTGTTTGAACAAAAACTTGAAATCTAGTCGCCAAGGGCGTTCGGACCTGGTTGTGAAAACATATTGTTTGAATACATAACCAAAAATATATTGAACTTTATGAGGTGCCCCTTCAGATCTAAATTTGTGGCTCAACTCATTCCGATATATATAGGTCAAATTCACCTCTATTAGAGAGGCAGTCAATAAATATGGTACAAATAATTTACTAAAAATGGGTATAAAAATGATTCTATTTCCTTACTTCCCTAGTGTTTACAAACACATAAAATAAATACATAATTATCGACTCTTCCGTGAATTTCATAATATAATCCAGTTATAGAAGAGTTGGGAATTAGAGCAACTAGGAATGCTAATTGATTCATACTGATTCCTTCTTTTCCTTCTCCGAATCATGATTTTTTTTTCTATTTTAGATAAGTAAATATGAAATTAGTATCAGTTGAATATCATGCATGTATTCAGTAACTGATGGTGTGATTGAATTGGACTGCCGTCTTCGTGTAAGGAATATAATTCAAACTTCAAAAGTTGTAACATGTGATGAACCGAAAAAAAAAATGGTAGTAACATGTGTCATCTGGAGTATTGATTTTTATATTGAAACGTAAATCTGTGTGGAAAAAGGTTTATATGAACTTGTTGAATTTGGGGAGGTGGGATCTGCGACCAAAGAACAACCTATCAGTCAATTGAGAACAATATCACGGTTTCAAATCAAATCCGTCTCCCATGTCCATGTCATATGCCTAACTTAGAAACAACGTGGCACGTATTGGGCGGTGCGATTTTTGTAGTTTTGCTTGGTACCCATTTGCTTGGTACCCACGTTGCATGTAGATTTTAGCTAATGGTCTGCCTGGTACAAATTTAGAACCAAATTATGGCATATACCCTTTGACAGGTAGATCTCTTCTTTTCCTTTTCTTAATTTTTTTTTTTTTTTTTTTTTTTTGGTACAATTCAATAGCTTGAGTAGATTAATTTGTTCAATGGTGGAAGAGAGGAGGATCGGCAGGATGAAATCTACACTATAGTGCATAGATATTATTGTCCTCTGCTACTGCAGTAAAACGTCATTTGCCTTCTTTTCTTCCCTCTTCACTTTGATTTATACACACATATATAGGGAAGTGTTTTTCACATACCCTTTTTATCTTCTTTCACTCATGTTTAATTATTATCATTTATTTCGTTTAATTTGATCACACTCTCCTAATAAAATTTAATTTCTTAATTTATAGTTTCTTATGAATGCCCATGAGTTTTAACTTACGTAATCCACGAGATCTGATTTCTCTTATTTTGTTTTGCTGAGTGAGCCTCCAACTCATGAATCTAGACATTAGGACCAACCTAAAATCTAATAACATAAATTACAGACTTACGTTACAAGTCTAAGAAGCAAGCTAATAAGATAATTGTGCTTTCAAAATGTGATTTAACGAGGCTTGCTAAGCAGGTGTTGGTGACGAAACTTTTAAAATCTACAAGGTACATGAAATTTCTTTGTTAACGAAAACTTTCGACTACTTAGAAGCACCGCAGTCAAATCCATGAAATGAGATATTTTTCTTTTACCACTAGAGATATGCTATTTATGTTACAACCTTTGACCCGCTAGTCATAAGCCAAATGCAATACAAGCCAAGACAAAATTTCATACATCAGCAGCTTGGGCAACCATATATCCAGCTTTAACAGAATAAACACTCTTGCTTTGATGGTGCCTAATCAAATTTTCATAATTTTGTAAACTAGGCAAAGGAATTGACACGACAAAATGGAAGCGGTTTTAGAAAAACTTGGTATATAAGATATAAATCCCAACAACCATGAGCACTTGTAATATCATTAACACAAGTGTCAATCGGTAGGATCTAGGAAAGAAGAAACTCAAAAATTTCAAGATAGTGGTAGGTAAGGATCGGAACAAAGTCTATGGACTGACCATCTCCTACTTTACAAGGAAGCTCATGAGGATTCTCTTCGGATCTTCTTTGTGAGGATCTTCACATCCTAATCGTTTATTGTATATTGTGTGATCAGTTTTCGTTAGGTACTATATGTGTTTAATTTTAAATAAAAAATTCAAATGCCTTCTAACCACATAATGTACGATGAATGGTTATGATGTAAGGATCCTTAAGATCCTCACAATTTGGATTCGGATGGGATCCAAATCCGAGTTTAGAGCCACATTTGTATCCCACATCAGCTAAAAGGAGAGTTATTTAGTACTTTATGATCAATGATACCACACACATATATTGTCGAGGCCTTTTTGTGAAATTCCATACCTATTTCTCTCAGACGGTTAAAGTGGTGGGAATATCGTCAATACCAATGGGAGGAGATCCCCTCACGATCTCTCCTACCAAATCCTAGGGATTCGGAGATTTGGACTCTTGAAATTTGATGGGCTCCTTTAAACGTTATAATAATTGTAACCGTTAAATTAAATTTCAAGAATCCGGATCTCCGAATTCCTAGAACTTGATGGGAGAGATTTGGAGGGAATCTTTTCCCAATACCGACTTGTGTGTGCATGTGCGGTCCGTTGTGTGCTTCTGCACAATAAGCTCCTATTCAATAATTCATATCTTTCCACATGTCAACAAAATTTCATGATGGATGTATATCTCAAAAGTTGTACCTTGATGTGTGTTAACTTTTCTTTTATAGAAATTTATTAGGTAAACTTGTGGGTAATAACGTAAAGCACAATATTAATGTTAGGGAAGTTATCTATTTAGATCATATTTTGTAAAATTATATGATTTGATTATTGATGATTAAATTATTAATTAAGTGTTGATTAATGTGCTTATTTCATATTAGTAACAAATCACATTGTTTATAAATTTAGGCTATAGGTCCACCTGACATTACTCTAACATTAAAATAAACTTATAAAAGAGACTTGAAAAAAGCTAATTGTTGTTACAATGCACGTTTATCTTCAATCGTAGTTATTCAATTTTCTTTTGTTTTTTTAACAAAAAAAGTTATTCAATTTTCGTGTCATTCAAAACTAATTTATTTATTTTTTTCATTTTGTTATGTTTTTTGTTTTATTTGATTAAAGGGATGATTGATACGAATAAGAACTAGAAATAAAATGGTGCGAGGAACTAGTGGAGATCATTCGTGATAAATTCGGATATGAGTTTATTGAATTTGCGGTCCGTCGCCCATCATTATTTTCTAATTTTAGGTTTTTTTTTTTTTTTTTTTTTTTTTTTTCTTCCTTCGTGAATATGCAAGCATCTGTCATTGTTTGTCCTCTTCAAAGTTTCGGACAAAACAAATATTAAGGGAATTTCTTTTGCGAGCCCCGACTAATTTTGTGAATCGAAAAGAAGCGGAGAAAGGCGGAATCGGAGAAAAGTCCGAACAAACCAAAAATATCAGCAGCAAAACTAACTGATTAACAGGTGACCGGGAAATAAAGATAAAAATAATGACGGACAACAAGACAAGTCAAGAACTTGGCAGCTTCAATCATTTAAAAAATAATAAAAAAATAAAAGTGGAAGCAATCTACATCTACTCTTGCAATTGGCTTGTGATTGGACTCCAAAGATGAGTAAGTTCAACACACACACTCTCCCCCCTCCCTGTCTGTCACTCTCTCTCACTGTTATAGTGGTACAGTAGCAGTTGTAGTATTAGGAACTAGGAAGTTAGGAACCCTTTTTAAATGTTCATCTGTCCTTTAAATTAGTACATGAAATTCTGGTTGTGGGTGGGCTCCTGCTCAATTGTTTGACAATTGTCCAAGTTATCCAGAACTCAACTCAGTTGGTAGTTAGAGAGTGAGTGAAGTGGCTGACGGATGTTGAAGGGTTGTTGGCCAACTGCTTCTTAAACCCATCTCTCTCTCCCTCTGTTTCTCTTCTCTCTTCTCTCTAGATTGCTGTGGATCGATCTCGATTGAGAAAAGGAATCTGAGGAGCCATTCTGGATCTTAATCTGCAAATAATATTAGTAAAAAATTGCAAAACTTGAGGCTGGATTTGTCTCTATACCAAGATTCCGCCTAAGACCAGCCAGCTAGCCACCGAAGCCAGTCCTCACCCATCACCCATCACCCATCACCCATTTTTAGGATATTTACCCTGCTGCTCTGGAAGCACAGATTGCAGTGCGTACACACACACACTCACACACACACACACACACACACACACTCTCTCTCTCTCTCTCCAACGGCCCTTTTTATTGAACTCAGTAGTGAGTGATCTGACATAAAGGAAACTCTCTGACCCCCTGAAGGAAGAGGTAAGCATCAAGCATCTTACTTTGAAGTGCTTATGGGAGATGCAATTGCAGACCTATTTACCCTTTTGCAGTGAGGAGTGGCTACTTATGAGCGAGTTGGATCTGGGTCTTGTTTGAATGATTTTTCAAGTTCTCTGATGTGGCTACTTTTTCGTTTCAGGTAATTTTTGAGATTGGGGGTCTCATTCGTTCATTCGTTTGTTCATAATTCATTGGCGAAAAGATGAAGAAGGGAGCCGTGCTGGTGGCTGTTGCTGCTACAATCGGTAACCTGCTGCAAGGATGGGATAATGCCACAATTGCCGGTACTTATCCGCTACAGATTTTCGATATCAATATCTTTTCGAGTTTAAAACTAACCCGTGTTTGAAGTGAATTTTAAGCATTGCCCATTCACAGTCATTTTGCGTGGTTTGTTCATTCGAATCACAGTTTAGAGCCAATATATAGTTATTTCTTGCTTGTACGTTTCCAGGGGCTATTGTTTACATAACGGAAGATTTCTCCTTGGGGAGTTCTTTAGAAGGCCTTGTTGTGGCCATGTCACTCATCGGAGCAACATTTATTACAACTTGCTCAGGAGCCATATCAGATTGGATTGGTCGGCGACCAATGTTAATAGCATCCTCAGTCTTTTATTTTGTGAGTGGTTTGGTAATGGTGTGGTCACCCAATGTCTATGTACTATGTATAGCAAGGCTGTTAGATGGATTTGGAATCGGCCTAGCAGTTACTCTCGTCCCACTCTATATATCTGAAACTGCCCCACCAGATATAAGGGGATCCTTGAATACTCTTCCGCAGTTCCTTGGTTCAGGCGGCATGTTTCTGTCGTATTGTATGGTTTTTGGGATGTCACTAATGGACTCACCAAGCTGGAGATTGATGCTTGGGGTTCTTTCCATCCCCTCTTTGATCTACTTTGGGTTAACGGTGTTTTACTTGCCTGAATCTCCTCGATGGCTTGTGAGTAAGGGCAGGATGCTTGAGGCAAAGATTGTTCTCCAGCAGTTACGTGGCACTGAAGATGTTTCTGGTTTGTTCCTTACTATTGGCTTGCAATATTTTGTTTGTATGCATAGATCCGCTTCCAGATTGCATAGAATCTATCTCTTGTTACAGTGGACCACTTCTTAATTAGCGTTGACTCATTCATTGAATTGCGCTTGGTATTGCATGCTAAACTTCATCATATCACAAATTCATGCAGCATTCACTGAAATTTAGGACGATAAACCAGAACGTTTAAAAGGCTGCATAATATCTCTGTGTGTAAAAGATGCTCGGAGATGCCTTCATTACTTCCTTTGGTTTCCCATTTAATGCTATTTTTATTTAGACAAATAGTTTTTCACAAAATGATTTAGACATTTAGTTAATTTTTACTAATGCTCGTAGGAAACTGTGTTACTTATGAAGAAATTATGTTCTCAGATGTTTTCGTTTAGCATACCACAGCTCTCTGGTTGTTATATATAAACATAATAGAAAAACTAGTATAGGAAGGTATGCACATGTTCACAAGAAGGTCCAATGGTTTATTTCTTTTTTTTTGATCGAATCCAAACGCTTTCTTGAATAATGATCAGATTGTTATATGTTTGCTTCACATAAAAATCTGATTCGTCATCACTGTTTGTACTTTTTGTTTTCACTTTCTTTGCCACGTATAGATTAATGCTCAGATTGTTATATGTTTGCTTCACCTCAATATTGTTTTCGTAAACCTGTTGATATTGTGCTAGACTAGGAGTTTTAAGAGTGACAAGTACACTCTAATATAAGATTGAGCATTTATAGAAATGTCAAGCTTTTCTATTTGTGTAAATCTATGCCCCTTTATTGTAAATCTTGCTAACACATGGTTTATAGGTGAACTGGCTTTGCTGGTTGAAGGTCTTGGAATTGGGGGTGAAACATCGATAGAAGAGTACATAATAGGCCCAGCTGATGAGCTTGACGATAGTCAGGATCCAGCTGACAAAGATAAAATCAAGTTATATGGACCTGAAGAAGGCCTTTCCTGGGTTGCCAGACCTGTCACCGGACAGGGTTCTCTTATTAGTCTTGTTTCTCGCCAAGGAAGCATGGTAAACCAGGGCGTGCCTTTAATGGACCCTCTTGTCACTCTGTTTGGTAGTGTTCATGAAAATTTCCCAGAGACTGCAAGTACCCGAAGCATGCTTTTCCCTAATTTTGGCAGCATGTTCAGCACAGCAGATCGGCCTAAGACTGACCAATGGGATGAAGAGAGTTTGCACAGGGAAGGTGAGGGCTATGGATCTGATGGTGCTGGGGGAGACTCAGATGACAATTTGCATAGTCCATTGATTTCACGTCAGGCAACAAGTCTGGAAAAGGATTTAGTGCCCCCTGCTTCCCATGGCAGTGCTCTAAGCATGAGGCGGCACAGCAGTCTCATGCAAGGAACAGGGGAGACAGTTGGCAGCACAGGCATCGGTGGTGGATGGCAGTTGGCATGGAAGTGGTCTGAGAGAGAAGGCGAGGATGGAAAGAAGGAAGGAGGATTTAAAAGGGTATATTTGCATCAGGAGGGAGGCCCAGGCTCCCGTCGTGGGTCCCTTGTGTCACTTCCTGGTGGTGATGTTCCTGCAGAAGGTGAGTTTATCCAGGCTGCTGCTCTGGTTAGTCAGCCGGCTCTTTATTCGAAAGAGCTCATAGATAAGCATCCTGTTGGACCTGCAATGGTTCATCCAGCGGAAACAGCTTCAAAAGGACCAATATGGGCTGCTCTGCTTGAACCAGGAGTTAAGCATGCATTGTTAGTTGGAATGGGAATCCAGATTCTCCAGCAGGTAGTAAATCGTTACGGATAATTCTGAAGTTTTCATCTCTATCTTTTTATAAAGAATAATTCCAAATACATTCACGGTTAAAGTATCTCCCTTTTTGGGCAATTAGTTAAGTTAATCTCTTCTTTCAGTAGGTAATTAACCTCAATTTGTAATCTTCACTGGGTTAAAGCTAATGACTGAAGTGTTAAATAATTGTGCAGTTTTCTGGCATAAATGGGGTTCTCTACTACACTCCTCAAATTCTTGAAGAGGCAGGCGTTGAAGTACTCCTTTCAGACTTGGGCCTCAGTTCAACGTCTGCATCCTTCCTTATAAGTGCATTCACAACATTGTTGATGCTTCCTTGTATAGCTGTGGCCATAAAGCTCATGGATATCTCTGGTCGAAGGTGATTTATTCTTCTCTACTTTTATCTGTTTTTATAATCTGAGCTCAAACTCTTCGGTTAGGGGCTCACATTCGAGGTCATATCTTTAGCTACATCGCTTATAAATTGGAATAACTGACAAGGAACACGTGTAGAGTTCAAATCTTAACTGGTGCATTCCATGTTGCAGGATGCTGCTGCTGACTACGATTCCAGTGTTGATAGTATCACTCATCATTCTCGTCGTTACCAACCTTTTGAGCTTGGGTTCAGTTCTTCATGCAGCACTATCAACCATTTGTGTTGTCGTCTATTTCTGCGTCTTTGTCATGGCGTATGGCCCGATTCCAAATATCCTGTGCTCTGAAATATTTCCCACAAGGGTGCGTGGCCTGTGCATTGCCATCTGCGCCTTGGTGTACTGGATTGGGGACATCATCATCACTTACTCGCTACCTGTGATGCTTGATTCAATGGGCCTATCCGGTGCCTTTGGGATTTACGCAGTGGTTTGTGTCATTTCTTTTGTATTCGTCTTCTTGAAGGTTCCGGAAACCAAAGGCATGCCCCTCGAAGTCATCACCGAGTTCTTTTCTGTTGGTGCAAGACAAGTTGCGGCTGCCAAAAACGAGTGATTGCAAACTCGTGCAGTGTTTTTGTGGACGTCCATCTTGTTACTTGTAGCGCCTTAGAATATTCAAGCAGGTTTACCCTTCAATTTTGCTGTCTGTATGATAAAGTAGATTTGCCGAGTGTTTTTATATGGGGAGTCAGAGTTCTGGGGAATAGGGGAATGCGGGGTCTGGAGATTCTCCAGTGCAACCTGTCTTAATATGGAATAAATTAAGGGGAGTTTTAATGAAAATGATCTAGCACTATTCATTATTAATCAAAAGGATATTTTGTGTATGAAAAGTCCATAATTGATCAATTTCTTTTCTTTATTTACTTTTATGTCATTATTTTATTATTGTAGTAAGGTCCACCATGATGTTGATATTTTTGTTTGGAAATACATTATTTTACATGATGATATTCGATTTATGCTAATTTGCTGCCAACTTTTCATGCTTCCATCATGTTGTCGATGTTACGCAACTCTTCTTCTGTCAAATTGTTCCAGTATTGTTCATTGTCGTCTACTAGCTTTGTATTTCTTTCTCTATCTTCTTTCACCTTATAGTACATTTTTCTTCTTTGAAAATTTAAGGCTTCCAATAAGGCGAATGACTAAACCTTGTCTTACTGTAAATATGTATTTCTTCTTCTTTTGCTACTAATACCATATCATACCTAAAATCTTCAAACTCATGTAAAGCTAACATTTGGATTCCTCAAAATTTTAGAATATTTTTGTATGAAAGAGTCCATCTATGCGAGGAGATAGGGGATAGTCTAAATGACTCCTCATTAATCATGGATACGTACCAATCTGGAGAACTACTAATAAAGCTTATGCAAATTTCTTTCCACCTTTCCAGATAATGTTCTGTTACTTTTATAAGTTTTTTAGGAAATGATTTTAGTTTGGAAATATGCTTAATGAATATTTTATCAAGATAGTCAAACTCTAATAGTAAGGTCGAGGTAACTTCTATCACGTTATGCTTTTTCTGATGCTCATAACTAAAATGTCATGGTCTAAAATCTCACATGTTAATCCTGACCACAGTTATACTAATTTCTGATTTACAAATACAATTTTGTGTACTATCACAAAGACATGATGGATACATTTTTGTAATAATATTCATTCCTGGTTTTGGATCAAAGATGGACTGATACAAAACACATTGTTATTGTAATTGTAATTGTAATTGTAACTTTCATAGACTGTGATGCTCTACTCAGAATCTCATTTTGCATATCTAGTGACATTATTCTTAATTTTTCTTTTGAAATTTCTTCTAATAGGATATCATCTGTTATTAAGTCTAAACATATATTCCTAAGAAAACTTTCATATATTTTTTTGTTTTTCTTTGTTACTCAGATGTTGATGCTGCTCCATTTCAATGTATTCTTCTAAGAGCTCAATCTTAATCTCTTCTTTGGTCTCATTTGTAACATCCCGTCCCGAAACTAACGAGACGTACATTTAAAATGACAATTTTACCCTAATTTGTTTGTGTACGTTAAGTGTTGTGTAGTGTGGTGTTGTAGGACCACACACACACTCACACCTCACCCTCACTTTCCCGGGATTCCCTCCCTCATTCCCTCACTCTTTGTCTCTCTGTCTCTGTCTCAGTCTCTCTCTCTCTCTCTCTCCCCGAATCCGTCTTCTTCTTCTTCCTTCAACACACACGGCCACACATACAAACATACTCAAACCTGCACCAATTAAGAAACCAAGACCACCCTCGTGCTCGTGAGGTTGTGAGGAGCACAACCATACCAATTCCAGGTAAGAATTCGAACGTTTTCACGTCGTTTCAACAATGGCCGAATTTTACACTGTTCATGCAAACCTAAACTAGCTTGTTTTTGGAATTTCTAAGCTTGTAGATGTGTTTGTGAGGTCCCAAGGAGCCTCGGAGTAGTTCGTTGGGTGAATTTGGACGTCACGATCGTCCTGTGCAAAGTTGGCCGAGTTTTGACCTTGAAGACAGGTGAGATTCTTTAATTTTTAGGTCTTAAAACTAGTCTAACGTTGTTCTACTAGTTCTAAGCTTCATTTTGGTATAAAGAACGTGAAATTTGGTTGAAAAACGAGTGAGAAAACAAAGTTGGAAAATTTCCCAGTTTTCCGGCCACCGGCGCCGGCGACGGCGCCGGCGAAGGCTCGACGGAGAAGACAGGGGAATATTCCGTTAAGTCTAACGGAATATTCCTAACGGCAGTGGACGGAATCTGGTTAGCTTTGACGGAATATTCCGTCAGTTAACGGAATATTCCTGACGGCGTCAGTTGACGCCGTCAGTGTGCAGTGCACGTGGGCCGCGCGTGGGGGCGCGTAGGTCCGTGCGGGGTCAGGCGCGTGGGGGCGCGTGCGTGGTCCAAAAATTTTTCTAAAAATATGGGTGTGATCCTGAGGTTGTGTAGATCACATTGGTATATTCATTTGTCCAATTTGAGCAATGTATGAGAAGTTATTACGAGAAGTTGCTTAGGTGCTTTTAAATTAATGTTTTCGTAACTTTGTCGCGTATAGGTGATTCGTTTTCCGAAGACGAGCGTACACACTCGAGGCAGGGGGGCTACGACCCTTCTAATTATCAGTGAGTGGGCTTTTGTTTTCCGTATATACCTATATACATATTAATTCCCAGAAATTAAATAGAAAAGGTTATATGTTTTATGCCATGCATCATTTGAATATTGTTTACGCATCATTGCATGTATTATTGGTGACATACATACATATATACATGTGTATTTGGTGCTGTGGACGCACAGGTAAGTGCCAGGTAAGCGGTATTCATGTGGTTATACATTTCTGTTTATTATGCGATGGTAGTTTGAGAGGTTTAGAGAGCTCATAATCTGCACCCCCGGTGTTAGTGCTCCCGCCCAGGGCCAGGGCACAGCCTTCACGTGTATGTTCACCAGCACCGCATGCTCGCCTTGGATCCAAGATAGGTGCAAGCCTGTCGTACAGACCACATTAGGTGGTTCCGACTTGTAGGTGACCCGCGATTATCGCACAGCTTCACGTGATCGTAGCACTAGAGCATACATATATATTACACCCAGCTTGTCGTACAGACCACGTTAGGTGGTTCCGACTCGTGTGCAGATTCAGTGATTGAGTTGAGCGTGGAGCTCTAGGTGCAGCGGTACATGTCACGTTAGGTGACTCCCGGCTGCCAGATTATATATTGTGATGTGAATTACGCTTGAGCATTCATATTTGATTATGAGATTCTGAATGGCATATTATGGAGCATGAATGGCATATTGTGGAGCATGATTGGCATACCTATACATACGTATATATGTTCATTTTCTGGGAAGTATACAGGTTTTACGGCGAGGGGTTAGAATGTGTTTTGCTAAAGAGTTTTCAAAGAACTTTGTTTTTGCCCACTCACGCTTTTGTTTTTGCGCCCCTCCAGGTTCTAGTGGTCTAGCAAGTGCGGTGGTTTATCCCAGAGGGCGTCCCGGCATTTCTGACAGACATTCACCATTGTAAGGTCACCTTCGGGTGTAAATTTGTCGTATCTTTTCCTTTTGGACTGTTGTAGACTTGCTCTGAATTGTGTCTCACATACACTAGTACTTTGTATGATGTTAGGTTTTTAATTATTAGTACTTTTATATTACCTTCTTATTAGCTTCCGCACGCGCACATGGCTACGTCACCTTCGTGTGACGGCCAGCATGCCCTGATCTCGGTCGGGGTGTGTCAGCTTGGTATCAGAGCCTAGGTTTGGCAGTCCTGTGTCTTTGTGAGTATTCTAATAGTTGGTGTCTTCTGTCAGAATCATGCCGCCTCGTCGGGAACCACGTCGCTCAGATGAGTCTAGTTTTCCTGATCTTACTCAGTTGGGGGAAGTGATTGCCACAGCCCTTCAAACAGTGATGCGCCCTCCCCAGAGGACTCCTCTGGAGACTATGTATAACCTAAAGTTGGATAAGTTTAAAGGTAACGAGGGTCACGAAGGCGCAGAACGTTGGTTGGAACACCTAGAGAAGACTTTCCGGGTGTTACATAACCAAGGGAACCTTCCGATGGAAAGGTGGGTTGAGACAACCTCTTGGTTCCTGGAGATGGAGTCTGCAGCTTGGTGGGAGCAAGAACTTCGTAGGTTGACTCCAGCTCAGAGGACCGATTGGAATGTTTTCAAGGATGTATTTCAAAGGAGGTTTGTACCCCCTGAGTATATTGACCGTAAGAAACAGGAATTCACTGAGTTGAAACAGCGAAAGATGACGGCTAACGAGTATTATCGTAAGTTCACTGATTTGTCTCGTTACTATCCTGATGTCGCTGGTAATCCGGCGGAGATGCTTCGTCGTTTTCGCTTGGGCACTAGAAAGAGATGGCGTTCTATGGTAACTACTACTCACTGTGAGTCATATCAGGAGTTCTATGAGATATTGTTGAGGGTAGAGGACTCTGAGAATATGTCAAGTGATAGTGACGAAGAGAAAAACGGCAATCGGAAGAAAGACGACAAAGGAAAAGGTCAAACATCGTTGGGGCCTCGCCAAACTCAGAACTTTAAAAGGGGTGGTGCAAGTTCAAGTTCGTCTAGTGGTGGTTTCAGTGCCTCTGGACAAGGACGTGGAGGTAGGTTTTATGGAGGTACTCGAGGCCAGAGACAAGGTGATGGTGGCCGAAACCGACTCCCATTTTGCCGTAGATGTAATAACCGACATTTCGGCGAGTGCAGGCAGATTGGCGGTGCTTGTTTCACGTGTGGGCAGATGGGACATAGAGCGGTGAATTGTCCCCAGGGTCAGCAACAGAAGCCGCAGCAGACCTTTATGCCGCCACCTGCACCGATTCGGCAAATCCAAGGTCCGAGTAATTATGGTCAAGCAGGTAGAGGTGGTGCCTATCACTATCAGGGTGATGTTGTTCCCTATGCTCCAGGACAGTACCAATACCCCCAGGACCCGTATTCACAAGGTGGTTATCCCCCGTATCCCAGCAACTACATGCCGTATCCTCCAGCTCCAACGGGTGGTTCTCAATGGTACCAAGGAGGACAGTATCAACAGGGTGAGAATGCCACTAGTAGTGCCGGGTCTTCGAGGCAGATGGGTCAGCCCAGTCAGGGGCGTGGAGCTCAAGGTCGCGGTGTTCAAGCGAGCAGAGGTCGTGGCGGACGACAGCAGGGCCAGGGGCGTATTCACAATATTTCCCTGCAGGATGCTCAGAACAACCCGGACTTGATAATGGGTACGTTAAACATTCTTGGTTATTTTGCTAGAGTCTTAATTGATTGTGGAGCTACACATTCCGTTATTTCTCATACATTTGCTCAAGTAACGCAACCTCGCCCCACACCTCTAGGGTACGATTTAGAGTTCGCTATGCCTAGAGGAGAGAGGTGTGTTGTAGATCGTATGTACCCAGGATGTCCAGTGATAGTAGAGGGTGTTGTTATGCCCGCTGATCTTATCCCGTTAGATATTGTCGATTTTGATGTGATTTTGGGCAATGATTGGTTGCACTTCTATCGTGCCAACATTGATTGTTACGGGAAAGTAGTTACGTTTCACCGTCCTGGATTACCTGAGGTTACTTTTGTGGGTGAGCAAAGTGGAGTAAGACATGGTGTTATTTCGGCTTTGCAAGCGAAGAAACTGTTGACTAAAGGTTGTCAGGGGTATCTAGCTCATGTGGTGCTAGAAGAGACCGTTCCTAGCAGAATTGAGGATGTGAGAGTGGTTAGACACTTCCCTGATGTTTTTCCTGAAGATTTACCTGGTTTACCCCCAGATCGAGATGTGGATTTCACTGTTGAGTTGCTTCCAGGTACAAATCCTATTTCTTTAACTCCTTATCGTATGGCTCCTGCTGAGTTAAGGGAATTGAAAGTGCAGTTACAGGAATTAGTGGATAAGGGATTTATTCAGCCTAGTACTTCACCTTGGGGCGCTCCAGTGTTGTTTGTGAGGAAGAAAGACGGGACTTTGAGGCTATGTATCGATTATAGACAATTGAATCGGGTGACGATTAAAAACCGTTATCCATTGCCTCGTATTGACGATTTGTTTGATCAGCTGAGAGGTGCTTGTGTATTTTCTAAGATAGACTTGAGGTCTGGGTACTATCAGCTGAAGATTAGTAGGGATGATGTTTCTAAGACGGCGTTCAGAACTCGTTACGGTCATTACGAGTTTCTGGTTATGCCATTTGGGTTGACGAATGCACCAGCAGCTTTTATGGATTTAATGAACCGGGTATTTCAGCCTTACCTGGATAGATTTGTCATTGTCTTCATTGACGATATTCTGGTGTATTCTAAGTCCAAAGCGGAACATGTCCGACATCTTACTTTGGTGTTGAAAAGGTTGAGGGAACACCAATTGTATGCTAAGTTTAGCAAATGCCAGTTCTGGTTAGATCAAGTCGCATTTTTGGGGCACATCATTTCTGCTCAAGGTATTCTAGTTGATCCTCAAAAGGTTGCAGCTGTGGAGAGTTGGGAGCAACCACGAACCGTCACTGAGGTGAGAAGTTTCATTGGTTTGGCAGGATATTATCGGAGATTCGTTAAGGATTTTTCGGTGATTGCCTTGCCACTGACGAGGTTAACAAGGAAAGATGTTAAGTTTGAGTGGAATGATAAGTGTGAGCAAAGTTTCCAGCAGTTGAAGCATTGTCTCACTCATGCACCTGTTTTGGCACTCCCGGACGATAGTGGTGATTTCGAGGTTTATAGCGATGCTTCCTTGAATGGTCTGGGATGTGTGTTGATGCAGCATGGTAGGGTGATTGCTTATGCTTCGCGGCAGTTGAAAACCCATGAGATGAATTACCCTACACATGATTTGGAGTTGGCTGCTATCATCTTTGCGTTGAAGTTGTGGAGACATTATCTTTACGGAGAGAAGTGTAGGATCTTCACAGATCACAAGAGTCTTCAGTATCTTTTCACCCAGAAGGAACTTAATCTTCGTCAACGGAGGTGGTTGGAGTTGCTCAGCGACTACGATTGCACGATTGATTATCACCCTGGTCGTGCGAACGTAGTAGCCGATGCACTTAGCAGGAAGCCACATGGCCGTATTAATGCGTTGTACGCTAGTCGTATTCCTCTTTTGGTGGACTTGCGTGCTACGGGAGTAAGGTTAGAAGCAGAAGATCGAGAAGTGGCATTACTTGCTAATTTTCAAGTTAGGCCAATCTTGGTTGATCGGGTGCTTGAAGCTCAGGTAGCTGATGAACAGATTCAAGAACTAATTCGAGCTCGAGATCAAGGAAGGAGGCGAGATCTCAGAGTTCGTGATTCTGATGGCATGTTGATGTTAGAGGGTAGAATGTTCGTGCCTAGTAATGTGGAGTTGAAGAAGGAAATTCTTGATGAAGCACATATCTCGGCTTATGCCATGCACCAGGGGCAACCAAAATGTATCATACTATTCGACCATTTTACTATTGGCCGGGTATGAAAAGGGAGATAGCTGAGTATGTGAGCAGTTGTGCTGTTTGTCAGCAGGTTAAAGCAGAAAGAAAGAAGCCGTTTGGATTGTTACAGCCGCTTCCCGTTCCAGAGTGGAAATGGGAAAATATCACTATGGATTTCGTGTACAAGTTGCCGCGTACACATAATGGCTTTGATGGCATTTGGGTGATCGTTGATCGGCTCACTAAGTCGGCACATTTCATTCCAGTGAGAGAGAAGAATTCTTTGAGCCGGTTAGCGGAATTGTTTATCTCAAAGGTTGTAAAGTACCATGGTGTCCCTGTAAGTATTGTCTCAGATCGTGATCCACGATTCACATCAAAGTTTTGGGTAGCTTTTCAGGAAGCTTTGGGTACGAGACTACTTTACAGTACGGCATATCATCCACAAACGGACGGACAGTCTGAGAGAACTATTCAGACCTTGGAAGATATGCTGCGAGCATCAGTGTTACAGTTCAGTGATGCTTGGCACCAGCGATTAGATTTGATGGAATTTGCTTACAATAACAGTTTTCATTCGAGCATTGGCATGGCGCCATTCGAAGCTTTGTATGGTAGATCTTGTCGCACTCCGTTATGTTGGTCGGAGGTTGGCGAAAGAGTTTTAGTAGGTCCGGAGATTGTCGAGGAGACTACTCAAAATGTTCAGGTAATTAGGTCTAACCTGAAAGCAGCTCAGGACAGGCAGAAAAGTTTAGCAGATCGACATACTACGGACAGAACGTATGAGGTCGGAGATTGGGTATTTTTGAAGCTTTCACCGTGGAGAGGTGTTGTGCGGTTTGGAAAGAAAGGGAAGTTGAGTCCCAGGTATATCGGACCGTACCTAGTCACAGAAAGAGTTAGTGAGGTAGCTTACAGGTTGGAGTTGCCTCCGGAGTTGGCTAAAGTGCATAACGTTTTTCACGTGTCTATGCTCCGACATTACGTTGCTGATCCATTGCATGTGATACCTCCTCAACCGTTAGAGATAAATCCAGATTTGACGTACGACGAGGAACCGTTAACGATCTTAGATTGGAAAGAGAAGGTTCTAAGGAACAAAACAGTGAATTTGGTGAAAGTCTTGTGGAGGAATCACTCGGTTGAAGAAGCGACATGGGAGACAGAAAATAGAATGAGGGACTTGTATCCTAGATTGTTCTTTGACCAGTAAGGGTGTATTTTGGTTGTTTTGAATTTCGGGACGAAATTCTATTAAGGAGGGTAGGTTGTAACATCCCGTCCCGAAACTAACGAGACGTACATTTAAAATGACAATTTTACCCTAATTTGTTTGTGTACGTTAAGTGTTGTGTAGTGTGGTGTTGTAGGACCACACACACACTCACACCTCACCCTCACTTTCCCGGGATTCCCTCCCTCATTCCCTCACTCTTTGTCTCTCTGTCTCTGTCTCAGTCTCTCTCTCTCTCTCTCTCCCCGAATCCGTCTTCTTCTTCTTCCTTCAACACACACGGCCACACATACAAACATACTCAAACCTGCACCAATTAAGAAACCAAGACCACCCTCGTGCTCGTGAGGTTGTGAGGAGCACAACCATACCAATTCCAGGTAAGAATTCGAACGTTTTCACGTCGTTTCAACAATGGCCGAATTTTACACTGTTCATGCAAACCTAAACTAGCTTGTTTTTGGAATTTCTAAGCTTGTAGATGTGTTTGTGAGGTCCCAAGGAGCCTCGGAGTAGTTCGTTGGGTGAATTTGGACGTCACGATCGTCCTGTGCAAAGTTGGCCGAGTTTTGACCTTGAAGACAGGTGAGATTCTTTAATTTTTAGGTCTTAAAACTAGTCTAACGTTGTTCTACTAGTTCTAAGCTTCATTTTGGTATAAAGAACGTGAAATTTGGTTGAAAAACGAGTGAGAAAACAAAGTTGGAAAATTTCCCAGTTTTCCGGCCACCGGCGCCGGCGAAGGCTCGACGGAGAAGACAGGGGAATATTCCGTTAAGTCTAACGGAATATTCCTAACGGCAGTGGACGGAATCTGGTTAGCTTTGACGGAATATTCCGTCAGTTAACGGAATATTCCTGACGGCGTCAGTTGACGCCGTCAGTGTGCAGTGCACGTGGGCCGCGCGTGGGGGCGCGTAGGTCCGTGCGGGGTCAGGCGCGTGGGGGCGCGTGCGTGGTCCAAAAATTTTTCTAAAAATATGGGTGTGATCCTGAGGTTGTGTAGATCACATTGGTATATTCATTTGTCCAATTTGAGCAATGTATGAGAAGTTATTACGAGAAGTTGCTTAGGTGCTTTTAAATTAATGTTTTCGTAACTTTGTCGCGTATAGGTGATTCGTTTTCCGAAGACGAGCGTACACACTCGAGGCAGGGGGGCTACGACCCTTCTAATTATCAGTGAGTGGGCTTTTGTTTTCCGTATATACCTATATACATATTAATTCCCAGAAATTAAATAGAAAAGGTTATATGTTTTATGCCATGCATCATTTGAATATTGTTTACGCATCATTGCATGTATTATTGGTGACATACATACATATATACATGTGTATTTGGTGCTGTGGACGCACAGGTAAGTGCCAGGTAAGCGGTATTCATGTGGTTATACATTTCTGTTTATTATGCGATGGTAGTTTGAGAGGTTTAGAGAGCTCATAATCTGCACCCCCGGTGTTAGTGCTCCCGCCCAGGGCCAGGGCACAGCCTTCACGTGTATGTTCACCAGCACCGCATGCTCGCCTTGGATCCAAGATAGGTGCAAGCCTGTCGTACAGACCACATTAGGTGGTTCCGACTTGTAGGTGACCCGCGATTATCGCACAGCTTCACGTGATCGTAGCACTAGAGCATACATATATATTACACCCAGCTTGTCGTACAGACCACGTTAGGTGGTTCCGACTCGTGTGCAGATTCAGTGATTGAGTTGAGCGTGGAGCTCTAGGTGCAGCGGTACATGTCACGTTAGGTGACTCCCGGCTGCCAGATTATATATTGTGATGTGAATTACGCTTGAGCATTCATATTTGATTATGAGATTCTGAATGGCATATTATGGAGCATGAATGGCATATTGTGGAGCATGATTGGCATACCTATACATACGTATATATGTTCATTTTCTGGGAAGTATACAGGTTTTACGGCGAGGGGTTAGAATGTGTTTTGCTAAAGAGTTTTCAAAGAACTTTGTTTTTGCCCACTCACGCTTTTGTTTTTGCGCCCCTCCAGGTTCTAGTGGTCTAGCAAGTGCGGTGGTTTATCCCAGAGGGCGTCCCGGCATTTCTGACAGACATTCACCATTGTAGGGTCACCTTCGGGTGTAAATTTGTCGTATCTTTTCCTTTTGGACTGTTGTAGACTTGCTCTGAATTGTGTCTCACATACACTAGTACTTTGTATGATGTTAGGTTTTTAATTATTAGTACTTTTATATTACCTTCTTATTAGCTTCCGCACGCGCACATGGCTACGTCACCTTCGTGTGACGGCCAGCATGCCCTGATCTCGGTCGGGGTGTGTCATCATTAGCCACTTGTTCTATAGGTTCAATAATTTTTTTTTTTTATTATTTTTTTTTATTCTTATGCTGATCAATTTTCAAACCTATTTTTAATTCTCTTTTCAAGGTGTCACTTGCATGTTGTTGTATTCTAAGAGATTGAAGTTCTTGGTTCATTTTGGTAAACTTACTAAGTAATGACTCATGGTCTCTAAAAATGACTTGAAGGTTATGCTCAAGAGAATGAATATGATGCTTGCTTTGATGGAAATTAAAATTAAAGCTATCAAACTCTTATTCTAAGGTTCTTATTAGTTTTTCATGATCT